GAAACTCTCTGCGTCAAGAGTTGTCGACGATCTCGTGCCTCGATTCCTTGCTATCGCGAATAACCAACCTGAACGAATCTCTGCGATCTGCTCCGATACCTGTTCTACAATGCGTGATATCTGGGCTAGGCTTAAAGAGGTGGATCAATTAAGACATATCCTGACAATCCCTTGCGACTCTCACAGCCTCAATCTCCTAGTCAAGGATCTCTGTCTTAAGGTCCCTGAGTTCTCTGAGGCAATTAAAGATGGTAATTCAGTCACCTCACACTTCAAACGCGCATCAAAACAACTGGCAGGATTACGAGAGATTCAAGTTCAACGAGACGGCAAGACCTCGCCATTGGCCCTAGCCGCAGAGACACGTTGGGGCTCTCAATATAACCTCGTTGCGGCACTGTTGAATAACAGATCTAATCTCCTGGAATTCGGTAGTCAATGGGATAGGGAATTACTGAGATCAGAGACCTCGCGTTACGTGAGATCTGTCCTTTACAACAACGACTTCTGGGTTACTATTAGTCAACTTGAGCGTCTTCTCAAGCCGATCAACATGGCGATAACTGAGTCACAAAGCGAGCGCTCTCACCTTGGCCAAGTCAAGGAGAGATGGTTAAACCTGAGGCAACAACTAGGCGCAATTCAACGATCATCTGAAGGTCTTAATTGGACGTTGATCTGGCAGTTATTCGAGGAACGCCAACGAACTCAACTATGTGAAATTCATGACCTTGCCTTCCGCCTGATGCCTCAGAACGCCAATTTACCCTGGGATCGCCATGAAAAGGCAGCCTGCGTCACGGAGTTACTCAAGTTAGTTCCACCTGAGCAGGCCAGTCAAGCGCGCAGTGGCTTTCTACAGTATACAGCACGAGACGAAGGCTTTCACGCCAGTCTAGATTGCTGGCAACAACGCCTAACGCCCAAGGAATTCTGGCAGTGGCAGAGCGATGTTTGCCCTCCTCTTACTGCGGTGGCCCTGAGAGTCATTCATTCCATTGCTAATCAATGTCCCTCTGAGAGAGCCTTTTCACAGATGAATATAGTGCAAACAAAGCTCCGCAA